AAAAGCACCCTTTGTTATAAATTTGGTCACTGAGACAGCATAACATGTTGGATTAGCTGATTTTAAGGGCCTGGTTGGGCAAAAGTAGTTTACACATTACCAGCAGCTATGTTCTTCTTTTGCAACACATATCAGTGATGTACCATGTCAATCAATCAATCAATCAAATTTTATTTGTTTTGCCCATATTCACAAATCACAATCTTTCTTCACTATATGGATCCATATAGACTCTTAAAGCTGTGTGCTGATGTTTCCTGTTCACTGTCTCCCCCTGTTGCTAGGAGATGAGAACAAAGTTTCTCTGCTGGGACTTGGGGCATTGGAGCCTCTCTGTCGGCTCATCACTCACAACAACAAGCTGGTCAGACGCAACGCTGTCATGGCCCTGGGCACCATGGCCACCAATGGTGTGTCAGATAACATATGTCATCAGTGCAGACTTGCTTGGCTTATGATACAACATTATGTAACTATTGGCTAATGGACAGTACAATTTCCTGATCATCTACCTTCCATTGACTCTGTTGAATGATTTGTTGACTGGCTGCAGAACTGAGAGTTTTGTTGGGTTAACAGACTGAGTGACTGGCTCATGGGTTGGCTCACTGAATATCTGAGTGATTAACTTTGTCTGTTGTTGTCATTGAAAGGTGATGTTAAGGATGCTCTTAAAAAAACAGACCTAATTCCATCGATTATCGACAAACTATCACTTGAAGGTGAGTAATTTTGATTGTAAGATGAACATCAGCAATGATTGTATGTGACATTATTTGTCACATACAATCATCATGTAGCACATACCTACTTATGTAAGTATATTTCTATGTTTCTCATGATTCATTTTTCCCCCCCATCTTCTCTTTTCTTTTATATTCAAGAGGATAGAGTTGTCCATGAGTTTGCAACACTGTTCCTGGCCTCTATGTCGCCGGATTTTATATGTAAGGTCCAGATCTTTGACAACAATGGTTTACCACCTCTAATTCAGCTTCTGTCCAGTCCAGACCCAGATGTTCAGAAGAACTCGCTAGAGGTCATCTTTAACCTAGTTCAGGTGACTCCAAGTAGAAGTTATATTTATCAGCTGCTTAAAAGCTAATAAATACATGATTGATTTGTAAAATATAGTAAGTTGTCCTCTGTTGTACTGTGTGTATATTTGAAGGACTACCAGTGTCGCGTGGCGGTTCATGAGTTGGGTGGGATCCCTCCACTTCTGGAGCTGTTGAAGTCAGACTTCCCTGTCATTCAGCATCAGGCTTTAGAGACACTGGAGCTTGTCACCACTGATAAAGATACACGCCACACCTTCAGGGAAGAGCAGGGATTCGAGAAGATCATGGGAATCCTTACTAACACGGTAGGTCTGTGTGTGAGAGAGACAGAACAAATTATTTTGTTGAAACATGTTTGTCTCCGTGCTGCTCCAAAGCATTGCAATAATAAAGTAATGTAAATTGTATAATTGGACACAGTTGAAACTACCATCCTGACATTCTCAAACTTAAATCATTTCAAAATCTAACACCCTGCTTTTCTCCTACGAGTTTGATTAACTGGTTCATTCTAACTTCTTTTGCTGGATTTGCTGCACTATAGCTGTATTTCTGGCTTATAATTATTTTTGTCATTTCTATCTATCAAATTTCTATTTTACAATCTAATGTTGTGAATTGATTTTATTCTGGCTGTTATTGCTTATTTATTTTGAATGTCCAGATACCTTTTCCATAACTATATTTTTGTGTCTTCCAGGATTTCAGTGACCTTCATGCTGAGGCCTTGCATGTAGTAGCTAACTATCTGAGTGACAGTGAGACTTTGCAGCTGATCCACGAGGGTGGAGGCCTGACCAGGCTGATGGACTTTTTTCTCACACCCAACTTGCCTGAAATCCAGTTCAATGCTGTTAAATGCATAGCCAGGGTCGCACAGAGCTGTAAGAGATTATACATTTGTTTTAGCTTTTCAACTGCAGGCTTGAAAGTTATGAATATGTAATGCTTACTGCTGCTGTATTTGTTTTATATTAATTATGCTGTGCCTGTGTGGGCATGTGCATTTAGCTGAACATCGAAAACTGCTCCACGAGCAGAATGTGGAGAAGGTTCTAGTCGATTATCTGTCTGTGGTGGACATCAGTGTGAAAACATCCACCTGCAAGGCTGTGGCTGCCATGAGCTTCCACCTATCCAGTAAAGACCGCTTCAGAGAGCTGGGTACTACTGTAGACATTTGCATACGCAGCATATATCATACACACGCTGACCACGACAAAGTGTCAATTCGATTTATTTGTGTTTCAGGTGGGATCCCTGCAGTGGTAGAGGGGCTGAGAGGTGAGAGTATAGAGCTGAGAGAGGCAGCAGCCCATGCCCTTGCTAACCTCACGCATAACAACCACCTCAGCGCAATGTGAGTCATAGACAAGCTGTGAGCATAAATATGCACATCATTATCCTATGTGTTATACTCCTACACAGTAAGTTATCCAAAACGAACCAGACAATTAATACTTGAGAAATTGAAGCTGTATTAAAAATATAGCATATTTCCAGATGTGTAAAACAGTTAATGGTACATTTGTAGTCTATAAAAGCAAAGGCTTAGGATGAGGTAGCACTAAAATGTAACAGTATGCCATTCACTGCACTATCTCACAAATGATTTAATGCTTCATCTGTCTCTTCATGGTTCTTACTCCCCTCCTCTACTCTTCCAAATTTTTATTCTCCAGACAAATTCTCTCTGCACCATTATCTCTCACTGTCTTTCTTCATATTTCAATATTACTGTCTCCTTTAGTTCTCAGGACACTGCCAGTTGTCTCTCCCTCCCACGCAGCATTCCCTCACTTTCCGAACTCCTGATGTTAGCTGTCACATATATGTGACTACATGTGTTCCATAGTCATCACAGAAAATCTATGTTGTATGCACATAAGAACATGAGAGACTACATTTGCCAGTTCTGTAGGCTGACAGTAAATCTCCAGTACATCTCTATGGTATCTTGCAGTGCGGTGTACGACGCAGGAGGCCATGAGATCCTTGTTCAGCAGCTTCACGGAAGCTGTCCGAGGACAGTAGCCAATGCTGCTGCCACGCTTTGCAACATGGCACAAAAGGAATTAATCCGCCGCAGCATCTTGTCACATGGAGTAATAAAGGCTCTGGTGGAGCCCTTAAAGTCTACAGATACACAGGTGTTGGTGAACACCACACTGTGTCTGGCAGCGCTGGCCTGTGACGCAGAAGATAGGGAAGAGGTTGGTGTTTGTGTGTTTTATTTATTTAGATGTTTTCGCTGAATGCTGCCTTGTTGAAAGACAAAAATATGATTAAATTTAGAGGTGCTTCAGGGGAATATCAGTTATTTTTATATACTTAACCAACAACAAAAATCTATAAAACTAAAAATACTAATGACAAACAATAGTTTCTTCTGCCTATTTTATATGCTTTCCCGAGTCTCTAAAATTCTTCCCTCTGTCTCACATAGCTACTGAGTGCAGGAGGCCTTCAACCACTGGTCAATCTGCTGCGATCTTATCACAAGGAGGTTTTACAAAGTGTGTGCTTGGCGGTAATTGTTTGTGCCAGTGATGAGCCCACCGCTTTGGAGATGTGCAAATTTGGGTAAGACTCAGAAATATAACAATGACACAAGGATATGTCAGACTATGAGTGTAAAGTACAAGAATTCAACAATACCATAGAAATGTAGAGCAACATAGAAACATTACGTAAACAGCCAGTAGATGGCAGTATAGGACAGTATTGAATGTGCTTACACATGAACGTAAGGGGTGTTTTCTTGTGTAAACGTTTACTATTCTTTTATATATCTATCATCAAATTTCTGACTGTGCTTGTGTGTCTGTTGTGTTTATGTGTATCTCAGAGCTGTAGAACTGCTTCAGGAAATCAACCAGTCAGTGAATCGCAGGAGCAGTTTCAGCGAGTCAGCCATGATCAGCCTGCTCAAGTCCAACTTGCCTGTTAAATACAGCCTGACAGATCATTTAGCCTCCACTGATATAGTTAGAGATGGCTTCTACGATGCCGGCAAGGTGCGTGTACTGTTGATGTTTATGTGCTATAGGAAGGAATGTAGATTAAAGTGGAATAAACAAAAGTTACCACTCCTGATTTTATTTTGGAACCATAACTGTAATGTGATCACAGCAAGAGACTATTTGCCTTCTTTGTTCCCGTTATCTTTAACATATGACCGAAAAGATTATGTTTCAAATGATAACATGGTTTCTCTCTATATTTTCCAGGCTCGTGCTGGACAGAGGATTCTGACATTAGAGGAATTTTCTAAGCAGCCAGTCAACCAGCAACGACCCATCATCGTTTTCAACACAACAACAGAGTATGAGTCCAATACCACAACACCATGCTTTGATGAATTAAATAATTTTTACTTAAATTACATTCATGGAATATGTTATTATGGTATGGTTCCCACATATCCCCTGGTGCTTAGGTTGTGGATACATAAGAAACATACTGTAATAAACACAACAATGCCAATGCAATTTTCATTTGATATTTTGGTTTAAATTACATTCCAGCTCTCAGTTGAGTTTGGAATTTAGAAAACATACACAGCAATCCCAATCTATTACAATTACCTGAACCCATTTCTCTAAAAGTAGAGTAGGAAATCAATCAGAGCGACAACACAACCAGTAGAGGACCATTACACTACCAGCCACACCACGCAGTTTGTCGATACAATTTATTGTGGCTGTTAGTTCACCCTCCCCTTGTCTGCCCCAATCCAGTGCCCTACTTTTCTTCCCCTCTCTTCTCTTTCCCCAACCTCTCCCCTGTTGCCTTCATTCATAGTGTGGCCTCACAGGGTAAATTATCCCTTTTTTTTAAGATAGCAACACAGGCAGAGTGAAGGAGCCTTTGTGTTGAGAGGACTAGACTTCTCAACACATACGTACACAATAAGCACAAGTGCATGTGCATGCACACAAATAGATGCACCAGAATGTGCTCTTACATAATAATAGATGACTGAGACACAGACAAACAAAAAAAAAACGAAGATTGTGCATGTAACACCAATGCCTTCAGCATGTAAATGAATTCACATTCCCCCCTTTCTGTACCTTACATCCACGTTGCCTCCCTTCATCATGAAAACACACAGAGCATCCATTGCATTCTTAATCAAGTCGTTTTGTAATCCATCTGCAGTCTCATCAATGGTTTGGTGTGACCCAAGTTCAACTTTTTTTTAAAGCGCAATATGTTTTTTAAATTTAATTAATTCAATATTATTCTGTCTCATGAGGCAACATGGTGTCTCGCCGAACTTATATATATATATCATAGAAATTATAAATAGAAATTGTAACAGGAAATATATCACACAGCTGCAAATACTTCTAATAATAATATTTAATGGTAATTTTACACCAATGCCTATGATTAAAATTCAATAACCTTATGAGAAAGATCTTAGAATAAACCACATCATAATCCACCTATATTCAAGAAATGTACATTTTAAAAAATTATTTTAAAATCAGTGTTTTAATTGGGCACAAAACAAGGACAGAAACATTAAACAAGACAATCCTGAAAGTATCACACACACAAACACACTCACCATGGTCTCCCTTGCAGCTGGTGTTTGTGTTCTGTGCTGTTGTCCCTCTCAGCTGGTACATCAACTCTCTCCGCCGCATTAAGACAAGAATAAAATTGTTTATCATCAGCAGTTATTGTATCTGTTCTTTGTGTATTTTTTCAGTTGCTGCCATGTGGGTAGAACATTTAGCCTACATAATTATGTATAGTCCAATAAATTTAAATAGAATGTATGTTAAAGGTGATCAGAACTTTTAAAGACACTGGCTCACATGTCTTTTGATAATACATAATCTCTCTGTGCAGGAAGAAGAAAGACAGTGACCAACAGAAAGATGAGACTCAACCTGTGTCTCCTGCAGAGGAACCGTGGAAGATGATGGATGACGTCTCTTTGCAGGTTCTTGTTAAAGAAACCAAAGAATCCATCCTCTCGCTGGATGATGAACGAGAGCAGTGTGCTGCCTTGGCCAGGTGATGGAGTATCATCAACACATGTAAAGATGTCTCTAGGAAAAGAAAATCATATATTAAATTACTGGGAGTCATCTTTGTCTAAATCTCCAGAATCATGGAAACTATGCTAAACAATATGCACTTTCTGCACACCAACTTTTTTAGAGTTTCTGTATTGTAATGGGTTGTGTGTGCATGGATGTGGTGTGTAAGGATGGTGAGCGAAGTCATGGGTGGAGCAGTGGAGATGGAGAAGTTGCATGCTTTCCCGTGGGTGCTGCACCTCAGCGAGCTCAAGTTCCAGCTTCAGTCTAACGTTATTCCCATCGGGCTGATCACCAGGGGAATCTACTGTCACAGGGCTCTTCTCTTCAAGGTACAACGATTGAGTTATCACAGAGAATCATCAGCTTTTCCCCACCATGCCAGTTTTTAACTTCTAATCTTTCTTACCCTGCAGGTCTTTCCTGTCTTTGCAGGCATTACATTTCAGCCTCTTTTACCCTCTAAATTCTCCTCATGCTCCACATAAAGAATTACTGTCCCTCTTTAATTTTGTGCTCCAGTTTCCTATATTTCCAGGAAATCATAATCAAACTTCTCTCCTCCTCTTTGTCAGTGTCTGGCTGATTTTATTGGGATGAGCTGCACACTGGTTAGGGGTGAGTATAACCGGGCTTGGAACGAGGTGCTCCTCTTCAGTGTGGATCCCTCCAGCAATGGTCGCTCTTCACAGCCCAGCCGCTACCTAGTGGACCTCATGCACAGGCCTGGAAGCCTATTGGCAGTGAATACCCCTGCTGCTGTGCAGTACCAGTCCATATAGAACAGAAGTACTAAATCAGAATACTATGACCAGTCATTTCATTTGTATCACTGGTTCACCTTTATACCATTAAACTAAAGGACTGATTGTCAGTTGTTTATTTTGGTGCATCCACAAGCCAAAAAGAAAATGCTGTCTGACTATAAATGAGGCATCTCTATTGAAGTCTCTGACTTGACCTTCAGTTCTCCCACTGAGGATTATCAGTGTTTTAATTACAGTTCAACTACAACCTGCAGTTTCAGTCTACATGAATAATCTTTGGGAAATAAAATCCCTACTGGAGATATCATGTTGAATAGATCAAAACCTGTTTTGTGAAGCCACATTGAGACCTTAACTTTTGACCACCCAAATCAAATCAGCTAACATTTGTTTGAGACTAACACCACTTTAATAACTTAAATAATAATAACTTTATATTGCTTTTTTCCAACACTAGTAAAAAAGTGCTAAACAACAAACAATATGAAATTCACAAACAATCACAGTAAAAAGAATCTGTCTGACATCCGTCTGTCTGGTAGCACCTTAGTTAGTCAGTCCTTTTGGGATCAGCGTGGCTCAGCAGTTCCATCCTTGCATCTCTTTAACAAATGTGACTTACAAAGTTGGAGTGAAAATTATGATAATAAAGATGATACATGACAAAAACTTTTTCATAAAAGTGTGTCTTAAGAAAAGAGATTCAACAATTCTTCTGGCAGATTATTCCAAAATGACTTTGACCCAAACCCTGGTTTATACCAAATTTGTAGAACAAACATATTTACAAATGTGTTTAAATATAGACAACACAGAAAATATTCAGCTAAATCATGATGACCAATAGACCAGTTTAATAAACAGATAAATACATATAAATTATGAGAAATAAAACAACAGCTACATATGTCAAAGATAATATTCAACATAAATACTCTTTACTTTTATGAAAACCCATGTGTCAGCTTTTTATAATCCTTCTTTTCTACACCTACAAGCACTAAAACACTAAAGAAGCGACGCTCCCAGTTTACTTTGACCTATATACAGCACCTATAGTTTGCCAGGGTCACCCAGCAGTCCTGTATCAGCAGCCGGAGGGTGGACCAGACCAGACCTGCGCGTAAACAGTCCCCACGACGCATAGCCAGTGCGCTCGTCTTTCACTGGATTCACTGTGTCCCGCTCTTGACTTTAGACTCACACTTGACTCAGCAGCAGCAGCGATCATGTCCCGATTCGTCGCTCGTCTCTTCGTTGTTGCAGCCAGATCCGTGGCGGCACCGAGGAGGATCCCGGTGCTCATCATCCGTCCTGTGTCCACATGTCACGGTAGCGTTTGGTTTCCTTATTTGGCACTTGTTTGTTTGTTTTTTTCTTTGCTGGTGGTCGTGGGGGTTGGGGGGTGTTCACAGCTTCCTGTAGCTGCTAAACCCTGCAGGTGCACCATGCTGCAGTTTTCCCATGGATGTTGGAGATGAGGTTATTGAAATCTAATGCGCAATTTGGTTTAAGGATTATAAGAAACTGGCAGTTGCAGGTTCTTACTTGTGCAGAGATGTCAGTAAACAACAAGGGTGATGGCTGGTGAGGGACCCACCAATTCTATTCTGTCAATTATGAAGTTAAGTGAATTTCTTATGATAGTGTTAACTGTATTCCCTATCATGTAATAATGAACATTTTCTCAATTTGGCTCCAAACTCAGGGTCTAATGTTGTGGGCTTTGTGTGCACATTATTTTAACGTCTTGTTGATGGGTGGTTAACTTGCTTTTTTTATTTGCACTTGCTTTATGAACCTATTGATTTAATTACCTCCTAAAGTCATCAAATGCTCATGCAACCCCCCACGTGTAATTTCCAGGTCTGCACTCCCTCACCCGTTACGATGAGACCACAGACTGGCAAAAGAAACTCACCCCGGAGCAATATGTGGTCACCAGAGAGAAAGGGACGGAGTTGGTGAGTTTCATAATGTAGCCTAATGCCACTGTAACACAATTGCTCTGAGTTCATACATGGCAACATGCACATACAGGAATCAGGGTCAAACCAGCGCTATCTCACTCTGACATGCAAACTGGACTTTGATCATCAGTGTATTACTGACCTGAGACAAGTTTGACCTGCAGCCACAAGCATTTGATGTGTTATGAATAAAAAAGTAACCATTCAATTGTAATTCTCACAAAACCACATTTAAAAGCACATCATTCCTGCTACATAACTATTTGTCATGTTTGCCTGTTCCTATAATGCTGAAATTTGACACTTGTGTGTGTCTCAGCCCTTTAGTGGGATCTATCTGAACCATTCTGAAGTGGGGATGTACCACTGTGTTTGCTGTGATTCTCCACTCTTCAGGTAAAAGTGCATTATCCCTAGAGGGATATTTGGCACATTGATTTGTTTATATTGGTTTTTATATGCTTGGATATTTCTTAAGAAAGTAAGGACAACAATCTTTTTCAGAAAATATCTTCAGGAAAAATGTAATCCTTTTTCTACACTAACCTTTACAAGTTACTTAATGTTCAGTCTCTATAATTAAAAGTTACTATTATCATATTTTACTATTTTATAGTGTATAATTAATGTTTTACAGTATATTCTTACTTTCTTATATATTTTATATATTCTATATTCCATATATGTTTATGTTTTTTATAAATGTAATAGTCCTTGTTTTCTCATCATTCTGTATTTATATGAGCTTATCACCGATTACAAATTAATTGCACTGTTTATTGATTATTTACTGATTTAATGCATTTCATTTATAACAATATTACACCTGTACATCTATTTATTGATGTCTGGGCGATGTTTAGTGCTTATGTTCCAGGTTCCATGTTTTTATGTCCTACAAGGGTTTTCATGGGTTTACTCTCTTTTCTTTGGAAATGCTTGGAAGTGCTTAATCTTGAAAAGTGCTATAGCCTACAAATAAAATGCATCACTATCAATATTAGCTGGAGATTCCCTCCATCCATCTTTGTGTAAGTTGTTTATTTATTATTAAAAAGGTATTAATGAATGCGTGTGGATGAAATGTTGCTTCCCCTCTTGATAGTTCAGAGGCTAAGTATGACTCTGGGACAGGCTGGCCAGCATTCAAAGAGGCTCATGGCACATGGGAGCGGGATGAAAGCCATGCCTCCATCTTTCGTCGCCCTGACAACAGCCTGGGTAGTGCTGGGACAGAGGTCCTTTGTAAAAACGTGAGTTGTGTTCTGAGCTGAGAGGCTGAAGTTGTGTTTACTTTGCATAGTAAAGTTGCGTTTACTTTGCATAGCTGCTCTAAAACAATTAAAGTGTTTTATTTAGAGACAGAGGTTTGGATTTTCATCTTTGCCTTCATTTTTATTTCATTCTTAATTTTCTGACTTTTGTGTGTTTGTGTGTGTCGTGCAGTGTGACGCCCATCTGGGACATGTCTTTGATGACGGACCAGACCCAACAGGTCAGCGGTTCTGCATCAACAGTGCAGCCCTTATGTTTAAATCCAGAGAAAACAACAAATGTGAGGGAAACTGCACGGACCACTGAAAACACACTGCCATATGTTTCATCGTCAGTCGAGGGAAAATCAAGGCCCAGAGTTTTCAGAGAGACGTAATTTAAGTGTTTTGACCATTGCAGGTCAGGAGGTGAGAATTTAAATCTTAGTTTTGGTGTAAATAAAATTCCATTTGCTAAATATATTTTTTATTGTATGAAAATCCCACCAATTGTTTTTGTCTTTTTATTGTTTTCTAATTTGTGTGTAAATTATCAACTTGATATGTCAGTGTGGGACATAGAGGCCAATCAATTGATGTAAAAAAATGTCAGCTTAAATATAAATATTTGATTTGTCTGAAGAATGTCACAATACACATGTAGAGATTGCAAAACATGGAAAGTTACGATATTGTTGCTTTGGTGCCACATGTACAAATCCAAATGTGTTGTCTGTTTTAATAATCAAGTAGATGGATAATTTGTTAATAAATGCAAATGTTCTTCTTTGAATCTGTGTTTTTTACTTTATTGTTGTGCAGAGTTTAAAGGGAATTAAACTCTTCATTGAATTTTACGCTGCCCTCCTGTTGTTCAGATGCACACACGTCAACATCACAGTGTGACCTAATCTCTGCCTGTAAACCAAGTTAATATTTAACAGGACAGGCCATCCTCTGTTCGTCTCTTTCTATCTGACTGTTTTTCTTTGTCTGTGTGTAAGGTTGAGGAAAGCAGTTGGGAGGAGAGAGCAGACAGAGACAGAAGTGACAGAAAAAAATAAGGAAAAGTGTTTAGAAACCTGAAAAGCAAGAGCACAGGAGGCCGAGAAATTTAACAGGACCACGAGTCTAATTCTTGAGCGGATCATTGTCAGTGCTATAGGATGGCCGGAGTGTGGCGATGCATGTTGGCGACTATGATTGTGTTGTGTGTGTGTCTGTGGGGGTCCAGTGAGGCTGTAGGGGGGGCTAAGAGTCGACCACGACCCCAAAGACGACCTCCCAAGAAGCCAAAGGTCGACTCTGTTGATGTGATCCCACCAGCAGAGAACATAGACATAGAGCGGGTAAGAAACTGAATAGAGCTGTACTGTGCTGTGCGTGTCGTTGACTGTGTTAGCACTGATGAGCATGATTATTTTCCGTGTTGGTAAAATATTTCTGCAAAAGCTGCAGGTTGTCTCCAGGTGGATTAGTAGCAGCAGGATGAGAGCGCCACAATAAAGACTTCACTGTGCCGTTACCTGACCTTTACACACAGTTAGATTCTGGTTCTCACTTGTCAGCACCATGATAACATGATCACACATGCAAACAGAACTAGAAAAATCAACAAATAGTCATATTACAACAACAGACGAGCCTAAAAGATGGTTGGAGTTTTTTTTATATAATATATAAACTGTGAAAAGATACTGAAATACCTTATGTTTTTGATGAGGCTGATCAATTGCACACGTCAATCCAAGAATGCTTTTAAAAAACCATTCAGCAATTTTTTCCTCCACAGCCTCAAACATATGAACAAACATATGAGTCTGCTTCGTTATGGATTAGTGTGGGGGTGGCAATGTGGACATGCTTGTGAAATTGTGTCAATATGGAGTTTGGGGAAATAAGTGGAATTATCAGTGAAACTAAACAGTCAGAAAGATAATAAAGTAGGTAATTTCAAAACAGTTCCCTTCCCAATAATAAAACTGGGAATGTATCAGGTATCAATATTGCTGGTCATGATACTGGTTTTGTAGGACACATGTTTGGAAGACAGGGGTTTACAGGATCTTCATTGTTCGTAGGATCTACTTTCTGAAATATAATGTTATATTCAGTACTATGTTTTCATCACATAAAAGTAGAAATGCTTGTGTTGTTATTACCTTAAAATTAATTCTTTATGTCTACAATGGGAGCCAGACTTCCACAGAGTCTGCCAAGTTTCTACAGTAGCCCAAAATGGACAAACCACATATGGGCTCTAGGAAGGACATTGGTTTTATTTTATTTTACCTGAAGGCCATGGGTTCTGGGAGGGGAGGGTGAGGTGTTGCAATACACAACTTGACCACTAGATGCTGCCTTTTTCCCACATGCTGAACCTTTAACAGATATATCAATATATTGCTAATGTGCCTTCCTCTTGAACATGTTGCAGATGACAGGAACATGGTACCTGCTGAACGTGGCCTCCAAATGCTCATACCTGATCAATCATGGCACCCGAGTGGAGCCCACAGTCATGAGCCTCTCCCGCTCCTCCCCCTCTGAGCAAACACTGTCTGTCAGCACGAAAACACGACAGTAAGTTCTGCTGTCTACACGTGTAATCATATACTGTGACTTTTCCGTACCTCGATTTATCAGCAAACAGGCAACAGATCGCTTCACTCACCTACTTCAAGCTGACTTCATGTTAACAGTTAAATCCGTCACTGTTCCCCCCCCCCAAAAAAAAACACTGGGGAGTACAATTAGAAATCTAGTTAAATCAGAAGCCGCAAAAAGAGAGAGAGGACGTTAACAGTCTACCACGACTCTACCAATTCCACCATTTCTTCTAAAATGCCTCCTCTCCTCAGTGATCACCAGTGTTGGGAGATATTACAGCTCTACCAAATCACCCCAACCCCAGGACGACTAACACTCAAAGGTCAGACCATCTATTTTATGACATTATTAACTCTGACAGTAAATCAGCGTCACCCTGCCTGACCATGCTTCCTGTCCTCATGTCCTCCAGGAGCTCGTCCTGAGCTGAACACTGAGATCGTGATCGGGGAGACGGACTACAGCTCATACGCAGTCATGTACTACCACAAACGTGGCAAAATAACCATAAAACTCTATGGTGGGCTCCTCAGCAACGTGATCTCTGTTTCATATTTTACATTTGAATTGACACTGTATGTAAAGAAACAAGAGCATTTCTAATAACATAACATTTGCTTTTGTACTTTCCAGGCAGGTCTGTAGACAACCTGTCAGAGCCAGTGTTGACCAAGTTTGAGCAGCTCGCAGAAAAACAGGATTTGGGGCTTGCATACCTTTTCCCTTTCCCTACCTACAGTACGTCCACCTGAAAAACAAAACACAATAGGGTTAGGGTTATACAATATTAATACATCCATATATATAGTTTAATGTTGGATGGTATGATAGATAAGAATATGATGTGATACTTTTCGAAATAAAATTAATACAAAATTAGAAAATATTGTATACATATAACTCCACAGTTGTGATCACTGAATTCACAAAAGTTACATCAGTGTAAGGACTATCACAGGCATGTATTTATGTATGTATGTATGTATGTATGTATGTATGTATGTATATATACATAGGTAGTCGGTGTAGGTGAGGACATTTATGCAGTACAGTGATGAATATTAAGGATTGAAATATTGTAATTTAGTAAATCACTTCCCACCTCACCTAAGTGTGTGTTTGTTTTTTGCTTTCTAGGTCATTGTCGTGATGTGGACCAGGATCATGTAATCAGTAAGTTAAATTTTAATGAAATATGAAAGAAATAACAAATATAAGGAAAAAAGATAGAAAAAGCTCATAACTATAAAACTATAAAACACCTCAACATGCCGACATTTGTTAAAGGCCATTTTACAGAAGCAGATTCTCTACAAATTGCAGACAAGCATTGTTGCTCACAGACTCAATGTACAGTGTGCACTGTCACAGGTCATTGCAAATGATTCATATAACACATGCATATTATGCTCTGTTATTAGCTGTATTACTCTGTATTACATGATACTGTCTATGAATGAAGTGATTTGAATCTGACAGGTTATTGGAAATGATAAGATATAATGTGTTGTTTGAATGGACAAGCTGTTGGCTACTGGATCATAAAATGTTACTGCTTTATTATTGATGTTGTAAAAGCTCTTCACAAGGTGATAGGCTTTGAATATCAGGGTTTGGCTGTAAAGAGTGAACAGTGTCAGATGAAGAAAGGTAAAAAGGTTCCTTTCGAAATGTACCTTAATATTTTACATTTAACACATTTTACAAAAAAAAGTATGACCAGCACATTTGATGCACCTAACAAGTTTTGATCCACATTGTGATATTTATACAGTATAATGGAAGTGACTAAAAAGGAAAATGCTGAATGAATACAACTATTTTTAATGGGCTCTTACATCATGTCAAAGAGGGGGTGAGAGCAGCCCTTTAAGGGAGGACTCTTCAAAACCAAGGAGCTGCACCCATGACCTCCCCCCAAATACTTTTCACGTTTCCTCCTCCAGGCAGGGCATGTGCTGGACTCTGCTTGTGTAACAATCAGTTATTTAAACCTTGTCGACGACTCCAATGACGGAGGAAACCATCGACACAGCTTTTATTTCTAATAGTCACTCCTCTTTTTTTTTTTCACAGACTGCATCCCCACGTGTTGAAGAGTCAGAGCTGTGCAGCAGACAGAAGCAGCCTGGCAGCAGTTTAACACATGTTTGTTTGACTTCTGCATCATTTCAACAGTAAAATAGAGAAGTGACAGAAAGTTGTGATCTTCAAATAGATAAAATGTTACCACTTGCAGAAGTTACAGAAAATTAAAGGTTTTCAGCTGTGATTAAATTGACAGTGAGTCTTGTCTGCCACTATCTGATTCTCTGCTGAGAAGCCATTGTCATGCAGGTATCATTATCATGTTAACTGCATCTCATCGTCTTAGTCTGAGACTTCACACACAGACGACTGGGGGATGGGGTGCACTTAATGAAGCCCAGATGAGAATCACAAAGGGGGTCAACAGGGGTTTGGTTACAAAACTTTCAAATGTGACTCTCTTTGCTCTTTTTGTTACCTCCCTTGGCTCCACCCAGCAGCACCTCTTTGTGTGTGTGTGTGTGTGTGTGTGTGTGTGCTAGTTACATAACCCTGAGATAACAAGTCAGTGCCTGTCTCACCTCCCAACAAAGGGAGTCAATGAATTTTTTTCAGTAAAAAAATAATTCAGGGACAATCTGTATATTTTTGCAAATCAACACTCTCGTATGCTTTTTTGGGGGGGTATGCAACATGATATATCAAATAAATTAATCGAGCTCTGTCATTACTTAAGTCATTTCAGACATGTCCTGGGGAGGAAAGTGTAAAAACATTACTCTTTTAAATTTGCAATGTTTTCTGTTGCTGCAAAGAACAACTGAACTGCAACACCTCAGAGCTTTTTAGAAAAAGTATTTTTACTATGAAGTTCTTAAATATCACTGCTTTCAATGCAATGCATATTTCCTGCAATCATCACATCCAGCAAATTCTAATATGGAATGAAATATTATGCCAAGTGGAGTTTACTGAATCACAGAGTTAACTTGATGTTTTTTATGAGTTGATGCTGATCTTGTTTCTGGTTTAGTCCAACTCTGATTCTCTCTGGACTATTTAGTCAAGAGAGAGTGAAACGCTTCTCTCTTAAGTGTTTCATGTTTCCGAAGTTTTCTGTTGATTTGAGTTAATGTGTGAGCAGCATATAACAACTGAGCCATTCTGTGCGTCGCTCGTACACACTTTAAAGTGAATGCATTACACAAAAGGAGAGATACTGGCAGTGCAATAAATATATCCTGTGATTATTATATCTAGAAAGTGCAATTAATGCTTTTCCTGACTTAAGTTCAGCAGGAGGGCATCTTGTTTCTGGTTGTGTAAGTTTGTTGTTTTTAAGGGGGGTGAGGTGTTCACATGCCATATGGTGAAAACTGTTAACTAACAGCTTTTTCAATAGTCCATGTGTGTCTGAGCACTTGTATCGGAGGAGGGAAAAGGAGAGAGGTGTTAAAAAAAAACCCCATTATGTATCACCTCTCCCTTTTCTTCTCCGCCTCCTTCCGTTCAGTCGTCCATCTTCATCAACCAACCCCCCCTTTTTCCAGCCACATGTGCCAGTTGTGTAACTACAGTGTTTTGTAAGTTGGTGGATGAGGGCCAGGGAGTCTTTTTGTAATGCAAAATCTAGGCGGGAGGGAGGAGAAGGAGGAGACAGAAGGAGGGATGAGGGGGAGCAGGAGTCTGCAGGATATAAGGAGCCCCTGCTCAACTTCATCACTGCACATTCTACTAACATTTCACCCACTGCTGCTGGAAACTTAGAACACAAGGGCAGAAGAATGAGGAACTCACTGCTGAGGATGCTGGGCACCATGATGTGTGTCCTGGCCGCCTGCGCCGACATCGCGCCTGTTAAAGACTTCAACCTGGAGAAGGTGAGTGACAGAGGGAGAAGAGACACAGCATTAGGATCCGTGTTTGGTTGAGAACACAACGTGTGGATGATGAGAGAAATACTTTGATTCATTCATGAAATATCTTTCTCCCCTTCTTTCTCTTAGATGGCGGGCAAGTGGTATATTGTCGGTTTTGCCACCAACGCTCAGTGGTTTGTGAACCATAAGGCAGGAATGAAAGTGGGCACTGCCATATTTGCACCAACTAACGAAGGAGACCTGGATCTCTCTTATGCCAACCTGAAGTAAGTGACTGATATGTTCATTAATTTATATTAATACAATTAAAACATCTTGATAAATAAAATACAATAAAATACAGAAATTAACTGACCTGTTTTTTTTTTTTTAGTGCTGATGGTAGCTGCTGGAGAATGACTCACCTTGCTCATAAAACCGACACTCCTGGACGCTTCACCTTCCACAGCCAGGGTGAATATACACACACGCACACACACTCCTAGCAGATGCAGACACACACACACGCAGACATATACACACACACACAAACACACACACTCAAAAGCCTAACATGTGTATTCCTGCTTTATCAGTTTGGAACAATGAAAACGACATGCGCATTGTTGAGGTCCAGTATGATGACTATGCAGTGATCCACACCATCAAGACAAAGAATGGAGTGTCTGAGGTCCTCAATAAGCTTTACAGTAAGTCCTGATCATTCACAGGTCAGCAGCATTCTGGGAACACGCTGTGTGTTGAATTCAGATGAATTAAGTGAACTGATTGTGTGTTTGCAGGTCGTACTCAGGTGGCCAACGCTAACCTGCAAGAGAGGTTCTCTAAGTTCTCAGAGCAGACCGGCATCTTGTCCGACAACATCGTTATCCTGCCTGAAAATGGTAAGTGATTTATATACAAACTCATAAACACATCGGAGCTGTTGGTGTATGTGGTTCAGACTTGTACTCACAGGCCTCTCCATGTGTGTTGCTACAGCTGAATGCCCCGCGGTCTGAGGAGTCACCCGCCGTCCTCTGTCCATCATTTAACCACTGTGACATCTGCAGCATCACAGAGCTTCACCTGAGACACTGACACTGCTGCATTTTGCTCAAGTTCCTGCTGCGAACCAAAGAATCCATCCGGCTCCTCTTTCTCTCAAATTGCATGAACAGTGGCATCACACTCTTTTTTTTAATCTGTTTTGTCTTTTGTTGAAATAAACTCAAGTACAATAAAATGTTCAAACATCAATAATAGTTCAGAGTGATTGATTTTTTTTGGTGGGAAAACACGTCAGAAATTAAAATGATGAAAATGTGGAAGTGACATCAGTGCTTAAAGCACTTTTTGTGATGTAAACTGCTCCCTAGTGGTTGAAAACCGTCATAACACCTCAGATTACACCAGTGGGAGCATAACACTCTAACACTGTTGACCAATGAGCATCTGGTGAAGGACTTACAGTTTAACTGAATTTGCACACTAGCAAAAATGTGAGCACTGTATTAGATGCTATTGCAGCCCTCTATGTGATAGACAGGTAGGTAAAACCTTTTCTTCTTCTTTGATGCTTTTATGAAGTTACAAGGGGGAGCCTATGACCTGCCTAAGAAATGTTCGAAGTGAAAGAAAGACAAAAAGAAACATAAAAACAAAGAAATAGAAATGCAATGTGTGAATAGTTAAATAGAAAAAGCATTTGTTCTCCTTTGGAGACGGCTTGTGGTCACCAGCCTAAGACGAACCACAGTGTCAAAGTTATAAGCTAAAACGGTTTATTAAAATTTGTTTGGAAAGCCTATTACATTGAGTGAAGCTCAGTCTATTGCTGACCAAGCAGGGTCCTCCTGGTCCAGAATGAAAAACCTTGACTCATGCTCCTCATCAAACATGCATGTTTGTACTTCTCTTTACTGAGTTCATTGCAATCAGGTCATGTGAGGCCTCACAGTAACTACAGTGTTTTATAAGCTGGTGGAATCAGGGTCAGAGTCTTTTTGCAATGCAAAAGCTAAAAGCAGCAGGAGGAAGGAGAAGGAGACAGAAGGAGGGGTGATGGGGAGCAGGGGTCTGCAGGAAATAATTTCATATGGAATGTCAAAAAATTTAATAGAACTGACAATTCAGTCCAGACTTTCCCTCGAGATTTCCTTTCATGCATGGGCAACGCAGCTCCAGATTTTCTGCTCCAGACACATTAACAACAGCAGCAAATCCTCCCGAGAATTCAAATGAGGGGTAGTGTAACAGGCAGAAGCAAGATGTTATGTATTATTTCCACTGTAGAGATTTAATGTTTTTTGTTTACAGCACAATGACACCTTAAATCTTATCACCACAAACTCTCTTGACATCTTCTCTCTTCTATGTGTGTGGCTCTGCTTTTACATCCTTAGATATTTGTATTGTTTTTGTTACTTTTGCATTTGTCACGTGTTGGAAACGTCATCAACATCCTGCTGGCTCCTGCTTTCATTATTTTTTAGTATTCTGCAAACTTACTTGGGGGCCAGAAGGAGAAAGTCTGCAGAAACTCAGGGGCCTGTCACTCGGACATTTGTGTTCCCACATACAGCCCCTGTGGAGTAAGTCAGGAAGTTCATTTCCAACTAAAGCACCTGCTGAGTCTTTCATGGTTGGTCGGTTCGCACTGTTGCGTTTACTAAAGCAGGACCAAAGGCTGACCAAAAACTCAATGTCAGACATCATCCAGGTAGACTGACCAAACCAGAAGTGTGAGGTAGATCCACAAATTACCAAGGCACAAGTGAAATTATAACAAATAGAGAGTGGGGCAGGTGATCAGTAATAGAGAAGGAAACCATAGGAAACCATCAAAGTCAGGAAGAAAAGTTCACTGAAATGAGACACAAGGGTATGCTAACAAATCCAAAAACCAGACACAAAGAACAACATCAACACTACACCTGTCATTCTGTTGTTGGGGAATTTTACAGACTTGTTGCACGAACAAATTCAGACCGTGAAACAAGGGCAGACGGGGACACGAGACATCAAGCAGCCAGCGGGAGGGCAAAACAACCTCTGACTCAGATTCTGGCTTTGTGTCAATGCAGATGCAACACAACTAAGCAAAAGTCCATAAACACAAAGAGTCCAACAAAAGATCCAAACAGATAAATCAAAAATCCTTTGAGGTTCAACACTACATAGAATCAGCATCATCACGTGAGCCCGTTGTGCAACTGCTGTATTTTGTAAGTCAGTGGACGAGGGCCAGAGAGTTTTTGTAATGCACAAAGTTAATGCTGTGAGAGGAGGAGACAGATGAGGGGGAGCAGGAGTCAGAGCGATATAAAAATCCTCTGCTCACCCACCACTGGAGGAGCCGGCAACACAAACGACAGAAACATGAGGAACTCGCTGCTGATGAAGCTGGGCACCTTGATGTGTGTCCTGGCTGTCCACGCCGACATCATGCCTGTTAAAGACTTCGACATGGAGAAGGTGAGCGACAGAGGGAGAAATAAAATAATCATAATATAGAGATTTGTCTTTTTGTTCAAAGATAATTATGTTAATGTAATATGAAAAGACAGGTTATTAGGATCCCTTTTGGATTAAGAAGGCATTATGTGTATAATGGTTTTATTATGTGCTGGGTTCATGTTTTTTTTTTTTGACTTCTTTCTATTAGATGGCAGGAGAGTGGTTCATTGTTGGCTATGCCTCCAACGCTCAGTGGTATGTGAAGCAAAAGGAAAATATGAAGCTGGGCACTAATGTATTAAAGCCAGCTGATGACGGAGACTTGGATCTGATTTACATCAACGTGGAGTAAGTGATTCATATGTTTAGGGATTAATATCAGTGATGTTAGATCATCTTGACAATTCACTTGTGAAAATGAAAACAGATAAATAATCAAATCTGTTTTTTCAGTGCTAATGGCACCTGTTGGAATAATACTTACCATGCTAGTAAAACGGACACACCTGGACGCTTCACCTTCTACAGCAAGGGTGAGTGTACACACAGACACACACGCACGCACATTCTCATACTTCTTCTTAAGTGAGGATACTTGGCACCTAACCCTCACCTTAACAATCGCAACTAATTTCCTAACACTAACCGTTACCTCAAAAATTAAAACTAAGTCTTAACCCTCAATCAAGCCGTAAGATCTATACTCAAAATGGTCCTCACAAATATATAAGTACAAGCACACACAACAATAGTTTAATGTGTGTATTTCTGCTTTATCAGAATGGAAAAATGACAATGACATGCGCATTGTTGAAGTCCAGTATGATGACTATGCTATGGTCCACACCATCAAGACCAGGGACAACGTGTCCCAGGTCCTCAACAACCTTTACAGTAAGTCATTTGTAGCCCAGTTGCATTCTGGGAAAGCACTGTATGATGAGTTCAGAATTTAGTGAAGACTGAAGTGATTGGTTGTGTGTTTGCAGGCCGCACCAACGAGGCCAGCGCTCTACTTCAGGAGAAGTTCTCACAGTTCTCCAAGGACAACGGCATCCTGCCCGACAACATCCTTATCATTCATAAAAATGGTATGTAATTTTCATAGAAATATACAGACACATTTTAATAAATGTATTGTGGCTGGTTCAGACTTTTACTCACAGGCCTCCTCATGTCTTCAGAAACAATTGATTGTTAAGGGGTCTGAGGAGTCCACCGCCATCCTCCTCCCTCCAACTCCAGCTCTTGCAAGTCCCACAAGAGTTTTACTCTCCACCTTCTCACTGTGATGTCTGAAGCATCACAAAGCTTCACCTGAGACAGTGACATTGCAGCATTATATTCCAGTTTCTGCTCCGTATGAAAGACTAGTCCTAATTCTAAAGGCCGGATTAGTGAGACAAAGGGAAGAAATAAATATGACTGTTAAATCAATACATGCATGCATGTCTTTGTTTTGTCTTTTGTTATACAATAAAAACAATGAAACTATACTTCATGGTTAAGAGCGATTACATTTTTTGTAAGCACCACACACAGAAAAACAGAAATTCAGAAAAAACACCATACTGCCCCCTAGTGGTTGATGAACGAGCCGATCATTTGACCCCGAGAATTGTTGATGGACAGGAGGATGAGTGAAACTATTCAGCAGGAGCGTGTCTGGAAAAACAAGGTTCAGATAGGTAGAGCATTTAATTAATTAGATTTACAGTGGCTTCGCACTGAAGACAACACAATAGTTTCCCCTGGTGCCAACTAGAGATTTCTTCACATGACTGTTGTTGTGTAATGTCAAATGTAAAATTTGAATAAAAAAACAAAAACAACAAACTGTATCTGTCATGGAACGAGGGCTCTTTTTACATGACTTCTGTATGAAGCTAGACTTTCTGACAACAAAGGGGGAAATCACAACCTCTAATTGAAAAAAATGGTTTAATACAATTTGTTCAGAAAAGAACTGCTGCTCATAGAAAGTGAAGAGAGAAAAAGTATGTATGTCTCAGTTTGTGAAAAATGGAACAAGAGCTATTATTAAATACAAAGTAACCCAGTTAGAAAAAGTATGTGTGTAGTTATGATTCATTCTCTCTGACTCAGTGTCACTTCTCCCTCTTTAACTCCCAGTTTAATCTTCAGGGTTTGTTTTAGGTTTTGTTCGTTCTTTAAATAAATTATTTAATGCACTTCTCAATAATTTTCTTCTTTCATGTTATTTTCACTTCATTTGGGGGAAAATGGGGCAAAGTTACAAAAGAGTAGCGGCGACATGCAGCAGAAAGTTATGAGTCGGATTCAAAAGAAAACATTATCAGCACGGTTACAGGGTATAAGTAAGAGGACGTCCCGTGAATATTCTTTGCCACTTGTGAGACACGTGACACCAAAGACTGATATCAAAGATCAAACACTCTTTATTGAACTCAACAGAACGGAAAGCAAAACATATGGGTTATGGTTTTGTCTGCTGGAGCTGAGAGTCCATCATAATTGCTGTTACCACATATCAAGGGCATTGTTGTAAAGTCTGAGTAATATAACTAGTGTAAAAAAAAAAGTAAAGTAGAATTCACTTGTTTGCCTTCATGAGTTGATGTGTGTGGGTAAAGTCTTCTTGAGGCTGCAGTAGAAGACGGGCTGAGTTCGCTGATGCACAGTTGGCGCTCGGAACACGAGGCGAATATGACGTCGTACACGAAAATCATTTGCGCGACGAGGTGCCAATTGCTGCGATTTGACAACATTGAAATAAGAAAAAAAATCACAATGAGAATAGTTGGCAGCTGCTTATGACTGTAAAACACTATCAATGCTGCAGTCAGGAAAACAACATGGTTAGAAAACATAACATTTCTGAATGCATGTTAGACAACAGCATGGAGCTCAATTCATCATCGCTCACAAAGCAGGATCCTCCTACTGAGTGAACGACCTTGACTCATGCTCCATCAAACATGCATGTGTGTAAGTGTGTGTCACAGAAGGTATACTTCCTGTCTATTGTGGAGTTAGCAGCTCTTCTTTAAAGCCGCTGCTCCTGCTGCACAGCTATGCTCAAAAAAAGAATTTGCGGGTTTTCAAAATCAAGCTTTGATCGAGATTCGTGAGAAATGAAAACAGCAGTCACGTTCTTGTTCAGGCTCGTCGTTGTCAGACCGGGGCAAGGCGACATGGCTCGAGACCGCGAAGGCACAATGGACAAGTCAGCCAACCATCATCTAAACCTTGTCCAAGATCTTGAATAAATATTAGCCATCTACGATCTTTGTTTTATGTTGCTTCCACCACTTAAAGGAGACGTATAATGCTTTAACAATTTTTAAATGTGTTATGTAAAATTAAAAAGCCCAAAGACAGCTGTAAAGGGAGCTCCTGTCCGCCACAGAAAACAATGAATCTCTTGAAATGCCTCGTCAGAAGTCCGGTCGATGTTTCACATTTGACCTTTGCGTAATACACATTTGAGCAGGTTAACATTTTCCCAATTTAAAACTATGAACCTGAACATGAGCAGAATATGTCTCCTTTAAAGCCTGGTGTTGAGTGCATCAATACAACTCAGCAAGCGTCAAGCAAGTTGTTGGATCTGACCTACACATATACCCACACGCACTGCGAACCCACAGCCCACAACGTCACTCTAACGTCTAAACATACACAAAGAAAACATTTAATGCAAAAAGATGTAAGACTCAAGTGTTTGGCAAAGAAACTAACAACCATCTTAAGTATGAACGAGTAAAGGCTCAAGGTTTCGCCAATATCCGAATGAAAAGAAAGCTGCCGCACTGAGCTAAACCAACCACGAGTGCCATGATTTCCCATCATGCACTGAGAAACCCCTCTCTGCCCTTCCTCAGAAAGGAATGTCCCGTTACAATCGAATGTCATAAAATTTGAACATAAAACTCTCTACTTCACACGTATATAATGAACAGACTTATGATATAATCATAATATAGATACATTACATTTCTCATCAGTGTTTATGTATCGGACTCTGAAAAAAAAAAAAAAAAAAACACAAAATATTATTTACAAAGTGAATTTTGGCATTCATATTCAGCCTGATATTACCGCAGTATTAGTGGCATACATGAGGGTTGATGAAATAAGAAAAAAGGGTTTTGGCATGTTGATTTGATCATTTATAATATAAGACTTTTCTTAAAAAATAAAATCAAAACGCAACAGAGACTGGCGATAAATCTGTGCTATCACATGACCCGGTAAGTATAATTATTTGTCATATACAGTATTCAAAGGACTCCTGAAAACTCCCAAGCACGATACAAAGAAGGACGAGCTGGTTAGTATATACAAGTACAGTCTCTTATACGTAGCTGTGCCCGGCTAAATAACTGGTCCTCTCTCTCTAATACTCTGGATATATAAAAAAAAAAACAAAACCAAACAAACAAACAAACGAAAAAGATTCCTGTACACGTCTTCCCCACATCCCGCCCTCTCTGGGAGATTATTGTCCTGCATGAGCGGCCGTTCCTCCATCTCCTCCGTGATTGGTCGCTGAATAATACCTCCTCCCATTTCTGTGGCGGCCGTTAGTCATAACGAATCACTTTCTCTCCCCGAGTCCTCCGCCCACTGGCTGTTAGATGAACCACTCCTTTTTTGATTCTTCGATGGTTTCTGGGTTGTCGGTGCTGATGATGGCCGTGTCCGCGGACTCTGCCGCGGACTCGCCGCTGCCCTTGGCCTCGTTGGTGTGGTAGGTGCCTTTGTGACGGAACATGTAGCGGATCAGGAACACCAGGGTACATAAGATGGTGAAGATCACCACGGCGATGATACCTGCAGGAGAAGGACATCAAGGGCTAATTTAGAAAAGCAAGTATTTTCCTAGTTGGTTATCAGATGAGATGGAAAGAAAGGCACGTTAACTGATAACTGCACATGATGAGACGGTATGCTCCCCTGACACAGACAGTCCAACAGCTCACTGACGGATGCTGTTTGGTATTGAATTGTTTATCTGTCATTACATGTTCAGACACAAACTCTGGAAGAGCCCTGACGAATTTACCTTTCATATATGCATACACAGCAGGAGATTTTCAGGTCAGACTCATTCACAACAACAGAATATGAGGCTGGGGGGGGACGCAGCATCACCAAAAGCACTCAAATCTCTTGTCTTTGTTATCAAGTTTACATCTTCGTCTGAGTCTGTGACATTAAATGTCCCTCTTTTTCATCCTGACATAATTGCCTAATTATTTTCTTTCCCTTTTGCATCTATCACATGTTAAAAATGTCATTAACATGCCCACTTACTCGCTAAATTCTTCAAATATTCATCTGCATGGGCAACTGACTCGGACATGTGCGCAGCCTCTTCTAATAATTTCAGGAGAATGTCTGGAGATCAGTGCATGTCTGAAAGCAGCGTGAGCATCGAAGACAAAGTTGCCTCTTGACAGTTGATATGCAAAGCTGACTACTTTGACAAATATGACGACACAGTGTACCTCCAATAATGGCAGAGTCCCTGTTGACTCCATCAGGAATCACTCTCTCCTCATTAAAGGGGAACTCTGCATCTGAAACAGAGAGAAGAAAGAAAGGGAATCAAATTATACACCTACATAAAAGCAGAATATAAGGATGTCAATGATTTAACTTGATTTTGCAAGAATAGCTGCACCAGACCAGTTTGCACACAATGAAAATCCAGACAGACTGTTCTGCACTGGTAAAATAAGAACACTTGGTCATTGGTCACACGTATAAATAATTGAATAATAGTGTCTCGTTTTCTGAGGCATGAACTGATTGCACTGAGAGGTTTCCTCTCCACTGCACATGTGCATCAGACAGTGGGCTACATGTATTTAATCATATCTTTAGGTGTAGTGGAGTTTTGTTAATGCATCGCAGCATTGTTTATTTCTTTAAAGATCCATGACAGGTTAAGAGGTTAATGAGCTGCTGCTTCTGTCCGTGCACAACAGTCCTCGTCAGCTGCGATCGTCTATTTGCTCAGATTCTGTGGAGGGAGAATGAGTGAAGGGTTGAAAGGGTTGAACGTCTCTTGATTATTCACTGAGAGCCAACTCCCATTCCCTTTAAAATCCAGATGTGCTTACACCTTGTTGGATTGACATTGCAAAATAAAGGTGGATTTGCCAGGTAAGTACGAGAGAACCCTTCCCTACAGAGGGAACAGATGCACTCTTGTGTATTACAGCCTGTGTAGAAACACATGTATCATGAGAAAGGCCCTTAAAATTACAGTAGAATGCTGCACCATTGACTTTTGTTGCCTCAAGATAACAATGCATCAACTGTACACCTGACCGCACCTCATTTAAAGACCAACACACCCATGGGTGCTCAGATGTGCACCAACGCATTTGCTATTTAAACAATGTAGGTGCTGCATCAGTCTGAAACTAGCTAACACTGAGGTGTAACTTTGGGCCCTAAGGAGAAAGATGATGTCGGACTTGTCTGTAATGCAGATGGAGGAATAGACTGAAACACTTCGAAGTGCACAATCCAAGCAACCTGCATAAGTGCACACATCCACACAAAAGTGGAAGGAGCTGTCAGCTGTTTCTGCTGCTGACTGCATAGTTCTCCAGAGAACTAACCAGAAGGAATAAGAAGGAGATGACGAGGCTGGGGAGGGAAACGTTGGTGAAAATAGAAAGTAATTCAGGGCAGGAGCGCAATCAGACTCATTATGGTCTGTCAGCTGCCTGGACGTGCTCGGATATAACGTCAACAATTCATCATGTGTAACCATGAGACTCGAAGGCACAGAGTTGAGAGGAGAGGACCAACAAAGTGAAAAGAACAGAAAAGCTGCGAGGAAGAGAGAAACAAGAGAAGTCTGACACTGATGATTATAGATGATAAGTATGGAAAAGGTATAGCAGAATAAATATTGATCCTTTCTGTGGGGGGATGGTGGAGCGCTGACGGGGAGTTTTTATATACAGTCTATGGTTTGGACCTGGAGTCTGGATCGATGGGCGGGATTGATCTCAGGGAGCTTGACGTTCCCAGAGGTGCAGTTGGCACCGAGCCTGAGGAAAACGGCTGCATCCGGAATAACGACGCAGTGGAAAACTAAACGCTGCTGTGGAATGAAACATTAGACACAAGAGTACTGAGGTTTGTGTGTGTGTGTGTGTGTAGAGGGGGAGTGTGTAGCTGTGTAAGGGATCTATAACTGTTTGTTGTGTTCCATGTTTATAACAGTGCACATCTGGAACCTAAATGAGCCAATTTGAGCTGATTCACAACGGCACATGCTAAGGTTTGCTAATTGGCTCTAAGATGTAAAGTACTGTCAAGACTGATTTCACTGCAATCAATCCAGTAGTTTTCAAGAAATTGTACTTGAAACTACATAAGTCGACCTCCTGGTGGCGCTACAGGAAAGGTAAAGGGATAACCAAAGTGATGAGGATACAATGAGCATCCTGTGAAAACATGTCATGGCAGTGTAGAGTGACACTTTCTCATTAATGGTTCTGTATTTGACTTTGTTACATCATCACCTTCACCAAGGAGGTTTTGTTTTCCTCCATGTTTGTTTGTTACTCAGCAGGAATATGTGAAAACTACTGCACAGATTACCATGAAACTCGGTGGAATGATGGAATATAGGTGAGGGAAGAATGCATAAAACTTTGGCTGGGATCTGGATCAGGGGGCAGAATGTTTTCAGAGAGAGCGTTTTCTTTTTTGTGTGAAATTCTAAAGAAATAATACAGAGATCCCGATGAAAAAAAAACAGGCACATTTAAGGAACTGATATCTGTGAGTGTGTGTAATTTGATGTGGCTGGAATAAATTGAACTCTGGCTGTTGGCAGAGGTCTGGGCTCTCCAGAGTGTCGTTCTAGTTATTGCTTTTGTGTATAATCATTGATCTTAGGAATGTTTAAGGTTCTTCTTACCTGTGTTGTCCAGACGCCAGGGATCTGTTGCAGCAGACATTGTTGGGATGGTGAGAGGTGACGCCCCACAGTTAGATTCCACCAGTTTGCCCTGGTGAGACACTGGCGATGCGGCGGTGATGGCGGGTTGTCTGTCCGACTGACCGGCTGCCGGCGTGGCCTTGGCCTGTGTGGCTGCTCTCAGTGCAGACTTGAGGGGGGCGATGCCGTTGAACTGTACCCGCGACAAGCACCCGACAAAGCCTGGCGTGTTGTAACGCTCGATGAGGACCGGGTCTATGTGTCCAGTTTCTGTACCAGGACACAGTGTTGGAAAGAAGCTGGAGTCATTGATCTCATCTTGTTTGATGAGAATGAGAGATTAATGTGATGGAACTTATGAGGAAGCAAGGCTGCAAAAATCAGCTGCTACTGAGAGATGGTGGGGATCAACACACGCTCACACTCAAAGTACTGCTGTAGGCACAAATTTTGCTGATGCACAAATATAATAAAACCAATATCTAGCAATTCTAAAGCGCCCAGTGAGAACATGAATCTGCACAAATGAGAAGTAGAGAGAATGAACAATGAGGAGGAGGAGGACGTACACTGGCCCCGACCTCTAATGTCAAATTAAAGGATGAATAATGAACCAACACCCTCACCTCCCTCCCTCCCTCCCTCCCATCAGTCTCCTAATGAGGGCATACTTCATTATCATACTGTGTTTATAAAGCAGAATGCATCATGTGAGCCTCGGTCTCTGTGGTACAAACAGAGGGAGACAGAACCAGGCTTCTATTGTGATATTACAAACTCAGACTCTCTTTCAAGCTGCAGTCATAGCTGTATGACCTAATACTCATCCATATCTTCACATCAAATATCAAAACTTAACAAATAAAAGCCTTAGTTGTGTTTCTGCACATCGCTATGGGGTTTAGAAGTCCACTTTCCCGTGTTGACAAATTTTTACTGATATTATCCTCATCATATCTGGGTCCAGGGTGTTCATGAAAAACAATCTGTTCAAGCTCCTTCTCTATGGAGATCTCACTACACTGCTTGTCCTCGTCCTGTTCTATGATTCTGGATGTCACTTTTGCACAGGCATTGAATCAGCTCTTTAACTACCTACGCTGCTGGTATAAAGGTGGAATAGCAATTCTGTGCTTGTTGTATCAGCCAATGTTGTATCTTTGCAAAAAATGTAAAACATTTGAATGCATCTTTGAATAAGAGCAGTCTAAAGATGATTCTCACTGGCGTAAACACACACACAGACACACACAGGGTACTGTACCTGCAGCGAAGATAAGAGAGAGGAGAATCAACACAAAATGATTAAGAAAATCCCTCCAACATGAATGTTGCATAAAATGAGCTTCCACAGGCACAAACCTGGACTGATTTCAAAACAGCCAAACAGTCTCGGACACTTTGAAATGAAATGTCCTGCTCTTCACATGAACTGGCTGTCTGCGCTGACGGAGCCTGGATTTAATTTTAACATGCATGGCTGCTCTGCTGCTGCAGGACGACGGTGCCACACCCAAGAGCAACTGTTTGGATAAATCTGCAGCAAAATGTTAACAAGGGACGACTGAGTGGAGCACTGCTCTATGTGTATGTGTGTGTGTGTGTGTGTGTGTGTGTTTAATGAATCGTGTTATGTTAGACGATGGGGATCTGACTATCTGGACATGGCTTATAATTTAATTCTCTTCCTTTATTCCATTTTGATGGGTCAAATACAAGCCTGTGTTCGTGGGTTTGTGTACTGCTGATGCCAGGAATAAAGCTCAATGCTCGTCTTCTATGTATTCATCATCTGACCAGACCTCCTACAGACACTTTCACTGTATATTTATATACATGCATTACATATATAACTAAAATGTGGCTCAGCATCACCCCTCAGATAAAGCAGACAAATGTACCTGCTGTCAATCCCATGAGAATGTTACGTATATTCAAGTGTGCATGATCCTGCATATGCATGGGGGTGTGCACAAAAGGTGGAGAGAGGCAGACAGACATGAAGGAGAGAAGTGGCTCGCAGCATTACAGTGAGCACAGTGAGCAGAATACTGATAACAACATGAATACAGAATATGAATACAGGCACTTTGAACCTACGCTGATCACTGCAGAGGCCTGAGTGTGAATACCAATAGGCTCTCTCTTATGACTATAACTGGCTGCTTTGCATACAATGTAGACAATACTAGTATTTAGTTTAAAGCAGACAATCTCCCCTTGTCTTGGATTTTTAATTTGGTGCCTGTGATTTCCCAAGGGAGTGTTCATTCCATCAGCGATGTACCTCAGACAAGCTATAGCTTAAAATAGACAATTAGATCAATACTAACATGGATCTTTCCTAACATCTCTGAAGAGCCTTCTAAGGACTGCCCTCTTGTGGCCAAAGTAAACTATAGTCTCCAGGAGGTAGCAGTTGAATCTATCCTCTCATTTTCATGGGCGTGATCGTCCAAAAAGCCCTCAAACAGCATGTTGACCATAGATTGCTCCCACTACTCAGAAATGAAGCCGAACACTGATATGAATGCTGCCATCTTGCGCATTTGAAGCCAGAGTCTACAGAGTAGTAATCGAGGGATCGAGCTGTGATAGCGAGGTCTCACCGATACATGTGCCAGTCGTGAGTTAGTCTCAGCTGTCAATCATTACATTTCAACCCATTTATTTATCATCAAATAACGTTTTAAAACCAAACTTGCTGAAAACATTAGCACTTGGACAAACGTCAGTGTGATAAGAACTCCCTAAACTGGCGTAAACCTTCTTTGGGAAAAATGTCTTTGACGTGTACTCTGCCTTTTAGTTTAAGTCCCATACGATAACATGGAGGAGGCAGTGATTATGAACTAGACTACAGCCAGACACAAGGGGGCATTTGAGATGCGTTGGCTCCACTTTCGGGGGGCGGTCCATCTGTATAGGCAGTCTATAATGTAAATACTTGTATTGTGAATAATCCTGGTCTTTACACGTGTGCTTGTCAAACTGCCCATGACTCAGCTTCTACTGTTCTGAGACCAGTTAGGATGTTGTATGCAATATTGTACATTTGTGTGGAATCTGTACTTGAGGTCGACTTGTAGGACTCGAGTCACAGGACTTGCCTCTAGTCACAAATTTGAGGACTTGCGACATTCTTGACGAACGCTGATAAGACTTAACTTGACTTTGTTTCCCTGACCTGAAAATGATTTTTGATTTGAGGCACGTGACTTGAAGGAACAGTTTTCATGAATGCTCAGAAGCAAAACCCAGGGTTAAACCACATGGGCCTAACAATGCAAGGATCAAGCTAAAAAGATTTTCCCACATCGACCATCATTTGCTCCTAAGCATTATATCACCAGACCATTTCTGATTCATGAACCGACACCTTTTCAAGACAAAGCTGTGTGACAAATGTAATCCTGCAGGATTAGGCAGAACAGGTGATGTTTCCTTGATGAGGATTAAAATGTCAGTCCTCTAAATGCATTTATATATTAGTCTCCGAAATGTAAAGCAGTAAAACCAGTCATCAGGTAGAATTGCTGTTTTATTGTCATGCATTTTAACCATTGGCCAGGTGCTGCACAATTAAGATGAGACCTGATCTAATAATCCTGTAACTGCACACCCTCTGTTGATTTGTGAATGTTGATTCAGCTCTATGAAATATTACATGCTTTACAGGAAATGATAATATAAAATACAAGCACACCACAAACAGGAGCCCACACGTTCGATGCTGAGTGTTTTTATGCAGAGTTAGGTCATCCTCATCACAAGTAAGATCACCATGAGTCAGTTATCAGATGCTGATCTTAATTCTGGTTTATACTTGTGTGTAAGATCGAAGCCCATGTTGTTGTGAGCATTTACACTGGAGTGTCTGTGTCATTATACCTTCAACATACTAGTTGGCAGTTGAGTTTTCCATACAGGTGTGCCTGTGTGTATACTTCAAATAATGGCAACTGCAACAGAACAGATAATGTTGGAATAGGAGCCAATGAATGTTGAACAACAGTAACTTTTAAAAATACTGCAAAACAGAAAAGAGAGAAGATGTGGTGGGAGAATATGTTTTACGACCATTGACCCCTGAGTCAGAAGAGTCACTGAGAGACATGGAGGAGACATGCTACCAAGTAGACGACTCACAGTTGTCACGGTTTGTTGGCTTCTTTGTTGCTGTGCCTATGTTTGTAGCCTCCCTACGCTGTACCTTTGCTGTACCTTTGCTGTATCTACGCCGTGTCTGCTCTGTTGGTTTAACGTATAAGTGGCCTTAAGGCTTGTATTCCTTTCTTTTCCTTGCTCTGGGGACTTCTGAATGGGTTGTCCAGAGCAGACTAATCAATATAACATTGACAAACACACACAAACCAACAGCTGTCACACTCACTAATCATGATTCAGAGCAGGGACAATTGTGTCTGGTTTTAAGACTGCAATAATGAAATGTACCATTACACATGATTACAACTAGGTTCAACAATTGTGTCGCACCGTGCACCATATGTGACCCCCCCCAACACAGACTGACACGACAAGGTCAGCATGTTGATAAGAGCATTGCACCTCCTGATGGTGTGTCACCAGGGTGACCAACGACATCACATGAATAATTCATAAGGTGACAAAACAAACAAAACTGTGACGAGAGGTCTGGGGTGAGGAGAATGAAGAGTATTTTGGAAGAGAGTGGGAGAGTGGAGAATGGTAAGACGGGTAGACAACCCCTTCAGTTACGATGAAAAAACAATGTAGGATGAAGAGAAAAGATAAGGAGGGTGTGACCTCCAAAAAGGGCTGGTGGTGGAGGAGGAAGGTGAGAGACATGAGAGGACAAGGAGACAGACGCGAGGGTCTCTAGTGTGTGTGTGCATCTGGGTGGAAAAAGAGAGAGAGAGAGTGGGAAAGACATGGGGTGACACGTAGGGCGCTCAAATGGAGGGGCTGGGTAGAGGAGATCAAACACAGTTGCCATGGCAACAAATGGAAGCTGATGTGTGGGGGGGATGAGGGGGAAAAAAAAAGGGGGGGGGGGTGTTAATGAAAGTATGATGCATTTGAGACACATCAAAAGAATATTAATGTGACGCCACCAACCACACCCTGCAACAGAAATAAATAAAAGTAAAGCAAACACACACACATATTAAATGGTCCAACTATGAGCTGCAGTGAACGGAGACCTGTGAGGAGAGGAGGTATGAGATGGAGAAACTGATAGAGGTGGTGAGACGTGAGAGAAAAACGAGAGATCAGAAGCTGCAGCA